CGACAACGCCGTGGAAAAAATCTGAAGAAGTATGGATAGAGAAGGGAAGCACCTGTTTTTACTTTGCTCCATAAGCGATAATAACACTTTTTGGTTTTTAACGGTATCCCCTTCTTTCTTTATCTGAACTAATCAACTGTAGACATGGACTTTGGATTTTTCTCAGTTTTTATAACGTCTGGGAAATTGCGAGTAGATCGTACAGTTTAAACTTTTCTTGAACATTTTAAAGATTATAGAATGTTTTAGATTGGTTGGAAACGAGAAAAGACCATTTAAAGGCTATTGCTTATCTTGGATCTTAAAGGATGTTTGCCGGTACGATGTAAAAGATCAAAGCCTATTAAGAAAAATGGTATCTTTTTTTGTGAATTACAGGTAACATTTTATATGGAAGGCTGCCTTTTAGATGAGTCTAACGACGGCTAGTTTGTATTGATTCTTTTGAGCTTTAGAATATGTGTTTTGATTTTAACGGAATATTCATATACACTACTATTGAGAAAAAGTTGAGCTGCATTCTTTGCTAGTCATAGAGTACTTTGAAAAACTTTAATTGGGTTAGTTTGGTTGTCAGCGACTCGGAAACTTAACGAAATTTGTGAAGTGAGAAATCTTTTTCTAAATCATTTTTTTGTAAAGGCTAGAAGTTTTTTGAGGACCGTGTTTGATGAACACCCCACATTTTTGTGAAATTGATTTATTTATCGCCGTTTGTTAAACGCTGAAGGCCATGTTAAGTTTAAAATTTTCAGCCTTGGTTCAAAAGATGGGAATCGGGAAGTAGAAAGCTGCCCAACAAGGAGCTTCTGATATATTTTAAAACCGTAAGCATTTGCGAGTATTTCAATTGTAAAATGTTACAAAACGAAATTTATGAGTTGTTGTGGTTGTCAGCTGTACCCGTTAAAAAGGGAGCGATTGCTGGTTATCTAAAATTAGTATAAGCAGAAACTTAAACTGAGGTTATTAGGCGTTATATGCTTAGAAGTTGAGCTGAAAAACCAACAAAATAAAAAGATTGGAGAAGAAGAGATCGGGATTAAGTAAAAGTAGGGTTCATAAGGGAAATATTTTGCCTTTCATCTTATTTGGCTGTCATTTGCGTTGTTTATCCATTTTCCTATAAAGTTGAAAAGAACTTGTTGCTATTTGTTAAAAAAAAGTAATTATTAATTTTTGCGCGCGTTATTCATTTAAAATGTAGTAGTTTTTTTATAATGGGGAAAGGAATCCATATTTTTAGTTTTCCGAAAGTTACGATGGCGTTGTCTGCGACGTTTTGGGGGATGATGCGATTGTTTGGTCCGATGCGATTCAGACTTCTAAGGTTGTCTTCATCCTGGGCGTACAAGATGGTTTAAAAATTGGAGACTTTGTTCATTTTGACTGCAGGTATGAGTTTCTTTTTACTTTTCTGGTAGTTGATTTTGTCTCTATTTTCAATTTCAAGTTCTATTAGATCGTGCTACTTAATTATTTTCCTTTTTGGCTATTTCAAAAATTAGGAGCTCTCACTGCTACATCTGCAGTAGTTGTGTGTTAAGAAACAGAATAAAAATTACTAGCTGGTGATGAATGAAACATTTGATTTTTGAAAACTTTAAATTATCGTGCGGTTTTGTTGATTAATAATTAATCTGTTTGTGTGTACAGAATATCTACACTGCTATCTACGTAGTTCACAAGACGTACTGATTTGATTTGTTTTGGCGGATGAGTCTTACGATTATAACTCTTATGTTTGTAACGGTTGAGTTTCAGGGCTGTGAAGTTTCCGATAAAGGGTTGTCACTTACAAGGCAAAAAATTTGAGAAGATTAGCGAGTCTACGTACAGTCCTCCAAATAATAGGGATCGTCTTGTATGTATTCTTAAATGTAGTTACTTTACATGTTTCGTGCCCGGAGAGAGTTACTACTTTGTATTTTGAATAAATTTGCTTTGTTTTATGCTCTATTTTTCTTGATGACTTAATTTATAGATTGAAGTCGACCTGTCAACCTTTCCGGGAAATGAATTAAGGTTTTTTGAAGATGATGTTTTATTAGAGCATAGCATATTAGGCGGTGTAGCAGTGAAACCGTCAGCTTATCAGGCAATGAGAGGGCAAAAAGTAGTGAAAGCTCTTCTACGTTTTGAGAAGCGGTCTTTCAATAGAAGGAAGGTGTTCTGGTCATTCGTTAGTTTTTCGCCCTTCCATCGGCCGCATGGATCTAAAGAGGTTTCTAATTTGTAGTTGAATTTTGTTGTTCATTTGTGTAAAAACTTGCTCTTGTCTTTTCTTCTCTTCCTTTTACATTCGAAATAGTTTATTTAAATTTTACGTTATTTTTTAAAGTGTTACCTATTTCTGTTTTTACCATTACTTTCTATGAGTTGGGTAGGACTCCGAGAAGTTTTGATGTTCCTGGACTCTTTTTAATCATTTTCAGACTTCCCATAACTTAGTTCAAGAGGATTGCGTTTCATATGGTACAAAAAATAGACCCGCAGGTTCCGGCAGAATATTGGAAAGTCATCATGTGCAAGATATTTTTTCCCAACCGCGCCTCAACCATTTCAGTGAAGGACAGTCTAACTTAATAAGGAGTCGTGCTGCTTCTGTTGCTGCGGTTGCTGCTGCTGCTGCTGCTGCTGCAGCTGATACCGCCCCATTGCCCCAACCGGTATCAAATTTTTCATGCTGTCGTTTTAGACAGTTTTTCTGTGAGATTTTCAGCCTTATCAATGGTTTAAAATCTTACAGTTGATTTTAAGAAATTGGTTGCTGCTGCAAGTCAAATAACGTTCTCTTTTTTCTTTTGAATTCGTGGAAAGGGTTGTATTGATGTTATTACACGCTCTCGTTACAAAACAATCATTCTTTTCTATTAGTTACTTCGTATCATGTGAAAAACTTCCAGAATAGAAGTTTTAATTCTGATAGCGCCTCGAAGTATGTGGACAAGCTTTGTATTTCTGAAAGACAGGGACACCATATTTCGGAGCGGCGGGAGGGCCGTTTTTGGAACCAACAATCTCGGGGCAGATTTTTTACGAGTAGGGTGCGGTTGCATGTAAATTTAGACGTTCTAGACTTTTATTTGTTCCTTTCTCTTTTTCTTTACAGTGAAGAAAGTTTTTTACCTGTTTCAATAATGAGTTCTTCCGCCTATGTGAATTTTTTCGACTTATGTTAGAAGCAAGATTTGAACTCATGATTTTTGCAGATTTAAGCTTATATTATTTTCTACAGATTGGAAGAAGCTTTTTTGTTACCTATTGACTTCTGTTTTATGGTTTTTAGGTCGTGAGGCCCGTCAACAGTAACGAGGGAACGGATATGAAAGAAGGTAAGGATTTTGTCGAGTGCGAAACTTGCCAATTTTTTGCATTTGTGAGGCTAGAGGTGACCTATAGTAGCAACGTTTATTAAATTCAGCTCTTGTGAACTTACTCCCTCTTGTTCGCAGGTAATGATGGTGATAATGACCCTCTACGTTCCATGATGTTTGGTGCTAACAAGCCGTGTCGTACACAAACTACCTTGACTTGTGCAGAAGAGAGAGGTACGGTTGTGAGTGATCTTGTAGAGTTTGATTTTTCATTTTTATGAGTCCTGTTTGGTACTTATTAAACTTGTGTTGCAGTACCTGATTTTTATAATCTAGCACCAAAAAGTTGCTTAACAATCAAATTTTTTACATGCATCTGTGGCTTGTAATGACGTGGTTTGTGACCTAGGGGTAGTTTTCTGGTAGTTACTCTAAAAGATGGTTTCAAATGCAATAGTAATTTATTCTTTAACCGTGACTGAGTAACTAAATTTCTCTAATATCGTGACATGGTATAAAAGTGTATGTTATAGCGGGTTTTCAATACTACATTTTGAATTTGTTTTTAAAAGTAAACTGAGCTCCAAAAGTTAGGGAATTATTAGTACGTTCCCTAATTTGTTCCATGAAGTCGTAATTTAGAGATTTTCAAATTTTCCTAAAATATTTGGTCTATATTAGCAGTTTGTTCGTTGAAGTGATCTAATGAAGGTAAAGATGTAAGGAACCTTTTTACTCAAACTATTCATGCTTATAATGATTGAAATCATTGCCTTGTTATCACGACGTTGCAAAGCTAAAGAAATGCTTATTTCTAATTGCACTTTAATGCTATTTGGGATCTGGAATTCGTTTAGAACTTTGATTTTCAGGCTGTGACAGCGTTGAAGAAAGTAAGACTGCTGAAAATATTGGGGCCAAAGAGGCTCTTCAGAATTTACAATCTTCCCTCAAACGTAAGATTAACTTTTGTGTCTTTTTTCGTTAGTCGGTTTTAGCAGGGTAGGTAAGTGGTTATTTTTTTTTGCAGAAACTTCTGTATTCAAAACTATGAAGCCGAGGAATTCTTAAGATGTCGTACGTCTTCAAGATTAAGAACTGTTATTATTGCATTGCGGGTTAGTTGTGAAATTTTATTTTTTTATATAAATTTAAATTGGTTTTATGTGCAAATATATGTATTTTTTTGTGACCTCTTACTGAGTACTTTCTTGACATTTTGCTCTAACTGATTGATAACATTAACCTTTAACGTTATTTCGCTTTATAATCTTTAAGAAAAATTCTGAGTTTTCTGACTAGAACAGTCTTTTTTTGTCTCAATGATATAAACTGTGTTTCTTTCTGGAATTTCTGAGGCAGTATTATGAAGATGTAGAAACTCTAACCCGAAATATTATGAAGTAATGTCTAATAATAGAGTCGCCGTTGTCGCTGTTTTTAAAACACATTACTTCTGTTAAAAGTTTTTAAGTTTTTAAGATTAACTTGTAAACTGTATTTGATTCCCAACATCTCGCTATCTTTTTAACTTTGATTAAATGAGCAAGTGGAGTTTGTTTTTCTTGATCTTAGATTATGATTCATTTATTGAAGAAAACCTTGTACAGTTGTTGTTAAGTGATAATGACAATGCAGAAGTTTGCAAGTTTTAATTGCCTTCTTAATCAGCGTTGCATTTCTGGTTTTTTAATGTCATTCATATCTGCTAGTTTCTATGAATATTTGTGTATTTGTGGTTTTCTGTAAATATCAGTTTTGAGCCAGCACTGTTGATTGTGCTGGATGCGCCTAAGCACTGAATCATTTCTGGCTTATGAGATCATTTTTTACAATGGAATTTTTTTTCGGGAATGTTTCGTTCACGACAGCAACAAATAATATATTTTGCTGCTTCTTACTGTTCGTCTTGACAAATGTTTCAAGAAATAGCTTCTTACTTATGGTGTCGAAAAATTATTGTGGAGTAAACGTTGTTAAGTAGTTTCATCTGTTTTGGTGGAATTACGGTACGGATTCATTTCTAAGCTATTACCGTCCGAGGAAAATGCAGTTTGTCCAGGTTTCTTCTTTTTGTTTTGATAAAAATTAATTTTGTATTTTCTTGTTTTTACAGGTCTAATAAATTATCTTCAGATTTTCTGCTCTTGTTTTTGTTAACAAGACAAATTTTAACAGACGAAAGTAATTGCACAGTGCGTGAACGAAGTCAGTTGGTTCATGGGCTGTATCAAGAACTTTTTCCTTTTGTTAATTACGCAGTAAAATATAAAAGCATTTGTCTTTAGCGACTAAGGTGTTGTTGTTGACCGATATAATGGTCAGAAATAAAGTTTATGTGAAGTCTCTTTTTTTTCTACAGCTTATTACCAAATTAATTTTAGTTAAAAATAAAAAACTTTGGTTTTAATGCAAATCTTTTTAGCCGTCTGAACAGCAGTGAAAAAGTCTAAAGTATAAATGGCAACTGCTTGCTGTAATCAGCATGCACTGAGTTGCGGTTTAAAAATACCTTATAGTGCTGCTTCTGTTTGTTATTATTACTATTACTATTATTATTATTATTATTAT